GCTAGCTGTCGCGGCTCAAGGTTGCCAACGCAACAAGAATTCAAAGGATGAAGCAAGTGTCGGCCAACGGCCATGCTCCCATGTGAGTGGCAAAACGATCAGCACCAGCAAGGTTCGGAGATGCAGTTGAGTAACCGTGCTCTATCAAGGAGGGAAGCAACCAGCGCCGGGGTCCCATGACCATACCTTTGAAAGGCCAGCATGTGGAACGCTCATCAGGCAGCTGTTTGGTTTGTACATCGACATTTGGTGAAACCGACATCGCACCCAGTTTGATCAGTGGTGCGGGCACCAACAAACAAGTGACGACTTGCTCCATGTTTTCTTCAACTCTGCGGCCGCTCGTGCCTCGGCCGATGCTCTGATGGCATGGGCCGGCGGGCATGGTCCGCGGAGCGGTCTGGGGCCGCCAAGCGCGCGGGGCGTTTCAATGCAGAGTGCAAGTGCCAGCGATTTGAGATGCTGCAGGCGGGTGACTTGAGGTTTGGCAGGGGGCACTTCTCAGGGAACGCCCTGGTGGAGCTTCATGGAACAACATCATGGAACTGAGGGGAGGCCCCTGCTAGGCCAGGGATGTTCTTGCTGAATCAGCCAAGAATTGCGCCAAACAAATGTCCTTCATATGGCATCCCGGTAGTTGCGACAGTGATGGTTGCAAGTAGACGCCTGAGAACCAAGTTGCTACCCCGCACCGGTTTCAAACCCATACTGTACTAAATTGAAATGCAGCCTAAGTAGCCTTTGCAAGCCTTTTGCAGAGGTTCAAGATCGGGACCTGCATAGAAGAGTTGACCCTGATTTTTTTCACCTGCCCGACCTTTGTAAAACCAGGGCAAAATCAGGGCTTTCCCATTTTCTATCATGAGCATGATGCAAAGGCTGGAGGAACTCAGCTTCACGCAGTCACTAGCGAGAACCCGCCCTTGCAGGCCCAAAAGGACGAGCTCAAGGAACTGGCAGCCTCGCAGCGGCGGCAGCTGGAGCGCCTCGAAGCGCAGAGCGCTCGCCAGGACCTCCCGACCTGTGCTTCGATGCGTGGGCAAGATAGGGCCGGTTACGTTTCTTAGCTGCAGCTCACTTGGAGTGAAGCTGGGCAATGGAACAGCCCAAAGTCCTGTTGCCATGCGGTGCTTTGACCATCAGCCATACAGCTCACTCAACCACAAGGCGGGTGTTAGAAACACTTAAAGCGTGACTGGAAACACTTCCAAAGCACGTCCAAGCAAATGCGCTTCTACGCCAAAGTACCCCCTCCACTCATAAATGTGCGAAGGGGATATTCTTTGACAATTCTCAGTCTCCCTGAAAGCCAAAAGATATGTAACTACATGTGCGCTTCGGGCGTTTCCCTTCGTTATCCCGCCTTCAGGACGCGGCGGTGTCCGAGTTGGAGCGCCTTGCCGCGGAGCGCGGGCGCCTGGCGGCGGAGCTCAGCGCCTGGCGCAGCGCGCCACAGCGCCTGCGGAGCTCCCGGCAGAGCGAGGCGCAGCACGCGGCGGCCAGGGAGCGGTGGCTGCTGGACACTCGGCTTGGGCCACGATGTCCACGGTTTCAAAGGAGGGGGGTGAAGGTGAAGGCATCTTGCATCGGTTGTCTGCACCGTCCCACTCGCAAATCCAAGTAGGGAAGCTGGTGGAGAAACCTAACAACTCCTGTCAAACTCCATAGCTCAAACTTCATTTCTTCGATGGCCGGCAGCTATCGCCTTTTGGAAGATTGTCGAAGCGCCTTTCCGCAGGAAAGACCATAGGAAAATCGAGGCGACAGCGGTTTGTTTCTTCAGCCAATCGCTCTGACTTGACTGGTTGGATGAATGCCACAAGTGTTGTGGCAGAAGGACGTGTGCCACAGTCCTAAACCCTTTTTTGATGTTCTTGGGGCCTTTGGGCGTCCCCCAAAGTTTCAAAGAAGCTGGGCCGGGCCTTTGTCGAATTCCCAGCTGACGTGCTTTTCTAGGAACGGCAGAAGATGACCCAAGAGCTGGCGGCTCTCACGTTGCAGGCGTCTGCCTTGGAGCGAGCGGGGTCCTCGCGCGCCTCCGCGCAGATCCTCGAGCTACAGGCGCCAATCCGAGAGGGCTGATTGGCGCGTTGCGTTTTCCGGCGCAGCTGTAAGCCACAGCCAAGCACGAGTTACTTCCGCTTCTTTGACCAGCTGCTTTGGGAAGAGCCTCCTAGCATGAATAAGATCAATTTGGATTATTGCACGTATATGCTGCGTGTTGTTGATAAGTTGTTGGCAGGTAAAGTCAATGTTCTTTAGTGGCAGGAGCAAGCCGCAGAGCAAAGGCAATTGTGCCGAGCAGCGGAGCAGGACGGATGTGTTGCCTGACCCCCCTGAGATGATCTTCAGTTGTCTCTCTTTGCGGGCACCTTGGTCGGCCATCCTGTGTGCTGAACTGTTGGAGCAGCCCTGCATGGGCCGCCTTGTTTTTTTTTTCCCGGATGGCCCTGACGCGAGGCCGTGTTGCCGAGTAGCTCAGAACTATTTAACAGGTGCGACATGGGCCAACAGCAGGAAATCAACAGCGCATCCTGAACAGCAGGCCACTCTTTTGCGATCAAGCATGTTTACAACTGCTTAGAATCAAGCCGTTGTATCCGCGGGTCTCACGTGTTCAGCATGTCGCCCTTGGCTTTCAGGAGCTTCGCAGGGCAGAGGCCCAGCTGTCAGATTCGGCGGGCATCACCACAGCGCCCGTGCAGGAGTCGCAGGCCGGGAAAACGGGCACCAGGATTGACGTCGGGCCCTGAATTGACGGGTTGGGCAATTTCAGCCCTGCTTTGGACCTGGTTGCCGCCTCTTTGTAAAAGTCGGCCTGAATCCCCGGCACTCGCACATGATTTCTGGCCTGCATTCCTTTGGACAAACTGCATCGAGCTCTCTTCTCTTTGGACGTCTGAGGTTAGCTTGTCATGAAACATGAAACAAGCATTGCTGCAGTTCTTCTCTCACTGTCTTCACGTTTGCCATTTCTTGCATACAGCCGGCTTGAGTTGCATGCAACCGAGGTCCTGAAGCTGCGATCTGAGATGGTGTCACTGGCTGCGGAGAGGCGGCAGGATGCCGAGCAGCTGCGTAGCCTTGGGGACGAGTTGGAGAAGCTCCGCCGGGAGTTGTCCGGCATCACCGCGGACAATGCGCAGCTTCGCTCTGGCCTCCAATCCGTGATTGCCGGGCTCGATGAGATTCAGCGCCAATTCTAGCGCATGCCCGCAGGCGAAATTCTGCAACCTACGAGGCAGAACAAAAGCATAGTGAGTTGAATTAGCAATGGCATTGCTTAGGCTGAAAAAAAAATAAAGGGCTTCCAGTGGAGGATCTTTCGCAGCCAAGATGCTTGCTGTGGTGCGCTCGCGCCCACTTGTTTTTTTGACAGATTTTTTGGGCTTCAGGCCTGCTTATGACCTGCACGAAATTCACCCTAATGGCACGCCTCTGCTTGCTTCAAGCGGGAGCACTGACGTCCTGTCTGCATGGACGAGTGCAACAGCACAGGCTGAACACCTGCATTTCACCTAAAACGGCTCTGTATGAAAGGTACGGAGCAGAGAAATGGAACGGAGGCACGAGGGCCAACAAGGGCCGTGATCAGCCACGGGCATCATTTGATCTCCCCTTGCTGCCCAGCAATGAGCTTGTTAGATGCTGCTGTGCGAGCTTACGTGGAACTGGAAAGGGCCATTCTAACGGGAATACTCAGATCAACAAGCATAGGAGCCACAAGAGGCCCTTGGATGACCATATTTGCCTATCAAGCCCTGGTGAGGTTCCACGTTGGAAGAAAAAAACGTGTGTCCCAACTTGCAGGCATCGAAGCGGGCTGAGAGCTCAGCAAAAGTCAGTTGCTGCGGAGCCATTGCCTATCCGGGCGTGTGCTCCGCAGGCAGAGGCTGCGTAGAACGAGGGAATTTCCAAAGCGAAAAGCATTGGACACATGCTGCCATGTTTGTAGCCAGTTGTTTCATGAATGGGAACTGGAAAGCTGCAATGCCCAGGTCGTTTTGCAAATCGATGTGGCCAGCTACCTGGGTGATTCCAGGCTTGGCAAGGGATTTTGAGACGGATGTGCCGGCATAATTTGCATGGCTGAAATTGAATAAGGGATGACATGGATAGCGCGAGCTCATTCCCTGTGACATGTTTGCAAGTGAAGCTGAGGTGATGGCTCAGCGTAGGCATGCAGCGAATTCACAGAGCGGTACTGTACAGCGTCCAGTGGACAATTTTCTTGCCAGATTATGGCAATTAAACCGTACACCGTGCAGAAACATGCACGTGGCCCCTGCCGCTGTGTGCTGTGGTAGCGGGGCCATCTTGCACCACCCAACCGTCACCGAAGGTTCAAGGTAAGGAACATGTCCAAAGCCGGTCCAAAGCCGGTCCAAAGCCGGAACCTGTGAAAGAACTCCCTACATCAGACTTGACTGCAGGTACTATCAGCCACCAAGCACCAAAACCGCAACACTGGTGTTTGACTTCGAGGCATGGAGCCTGCGATTCCCCGCCTGGCCGGCCACGCGCCGCAGCAGCCGCCCAGATGCCATCCGACCGCCTGGGCGGCGTTGTGCGCCTTGGCCGCGCCCGCGCGCGCCACGCGCGCGAGCCTGGGGGTCCTGGGCGGCCTGGGCGTGCGCCTGCGCCGCGGGCGCGTGGCGCGCAGCGCAGACCCCATGGCGGGGGTGAAGAGGTTCCCCGCGCAGCCGCCAGCCTTGCCCAGCAAAAGCGCCAGCTCGCTGCAAGCCCCAGACTTCGAGGACTACGCAGTGGCCTTGCAGGAGGCATGTGCTTGGATCGGCGATTTGGCGGCATGTCCTGGTACAGTTGCCACAACACCTGTTCTTGTTCTGATCTTTTCTTGCATTGTGTTTTGTCGTGTTGATGGCTTACTTGTTCTGCGCTGTGATGTGCAAAATTAGCCATGATTTCTCTGGGCGGTTCACTGCATGTTCCGCTTTGACATGCAGAAGAAGCTCATGCTTGCCTTGCCTGTCAACCGCAGCCATGTGGCCTTAATTCTGGGCCAGGGCTTGCTTGCACATAGATGCCGACATGTTTTCAGCACTTTTGCGCTGAATGGCGCCGTGCTCGCCGGGTTCTACAAGTTCATTCGCTGGATTTGGAGACGAGGCGTGAGCTTGCAAGCGTGCTGGCTGCGGATCATGTGGTAGGCTGTGACGGCCCGCTCTCTGAGAAGTATGGCATTGGCTTTTGGCATGCTGACTTCGATGAGTCGGCTTCTGCGCGCATTTGGCTCGCACAAACGGGAACTCATGCCACTCGCCTCGCCATTTTAGTGCTCTTAGTGACTTCGAGGTTAGGACCCTGTTTGTGACGCAGCTGGGCGAAGCACGGGTGTTGGGTGGCCAGCATCTCCAGTATCGCTCTGTCAATCAAACCGAAGCAAGATCATGTGCGCCCTGAGGCTGTGAGCAATGATGAAGTGGAGACCAACGATGGGGACGCCGAGCATGAGCTCATTGCCAAGGATAAGTTGAGGAATCGCTCGGGCGTTCTTTCGGCAATGAAAGGATTTGCCGGGCGCATGCGGAAGCTCGACGTCGAGCGGGAGTCCACCTTCTCCTGGTCTCAGGCAGCTACCCCCAGTTCAGCCTCCCAACATAGGAATTCTCCCTCGGCAAGTCAACATCGCTGAAGTTGGCACGTGATTACATGATATTATATGCCATGGTGTTCTTCACTGGTCAAAGGGTTCGCTAAATTTATTAGAATGTGCCGGGACTTGCCAGGGTTTGCCAGGGTCCGGTGGTTATGCCTCTGAGGCGGTGGCCAATATCCCCAAAGTCGTGCCCTTGGAGCAGACGCTGCTCTTCCGGAACCCGGAGCATCCCATGGCAACCTTCCCCGAGGAGTGCAGCAAAGAGGAGCCGAGTGCTCAAGCGCTGTGCCTGTGGAGTTTTGTTAATTATCAGTTCTCAACCAGGGCAATGTCTCAGTCTGCGGCAACCAAATGCGCCAAGAGACGAAGACGATCTGAGGTCAGCTTTAGTCTGCAGACGCGAAGGCGAGCTGCGGCTCAGCTTCGCCCGAGACATGCACACGCGGAGGGTGACCAGGCTTGAAACGAACAGGCTGTATGGAAAAGCAGCAGATGCAGCAGCCTGACTAAGAAAAGGCGTTCAGACAGCCTGCCAAAGGAAAACCACACCTGCTCAAGCCTGCCAAGACGAGAAGTACGCTTGTCGCAGGGCACCCGCGCTCCAAGCACGTGGTCCGAATGGCGAGCACACCCACTCAAGAGCAGCAGCACTGCCCACACGCCGGCCAAACCATGAACGCCACCCCCTGATCACTGCACACATGCCTGCCAGATGCACACACGCCTGGCCAGATGACAAGCGCACCTGCTCAAAAGCCCCACTCAGCATTGCACACATGCATGTCGACATGATAAATGCACCCACACAAAGAGCAGACGCCGCTCGCGCACACCGGCGCAGACAGACAGACGGACGGACGGACTGGCCTTACGGGCCTAGCGCACGCTGCAGCATGCATTTGCTGGTTCTCTTTTGCATGCTCTTTTGCCATGTTGAGCGAACAAGAATGAAAACGCGAATGCAAGTTGATACGCTTTCTTTGGAGCCTGAAAGCCTGACAAGCGTGTATGCGCCCTTGTTGTGTGTGTGTGTGTGTTTGTGTGTGTGTTGTTGTTTGTTTTTTTTGTGATGTGCGTTTGAAAGTGTCGTTTTGAATGCGCTTCAGACGGCACAAGGTTGAGCCACGTCTTTGACAGGAGTTTGTGGCCCTGATGAAGAAGAGCCTGGTTGCCGAGCGGCTCTTCGCTGAGGGCGTGGGTCCCTCACAGAAAAATGACGAGCAGCCCATCGCCTACACGCACGATGCAGAGGAGCATGTCACCCTCTGACTCCTAATGGACATACCATTAGATTAGATAGTTGTTGTCGCTTGCCTTTGGTTGGGTCTGTTGGTTTCGTCTCAACGGCTGAAAGCTTTGGGGTCTACGCTCAAATAAGCATTGGGGCTGTTCGGAGCAGCTTTCAGGGAGGGTTCCGGAAGGGTTCCAGAATTTTCGGGGCCGTTGGGGATACCACCTGGGCTCACTAGTTTTGTCAGATGTGTTTCTACTTGCTGCCTATGTACAGCTGTTCGGACAAAGTGTATTGCACCTATCCACTTCTTTCTCATCGTTCTGAGAGTCTTACGGGTCCCACCGCATCAAACGATGCATTCGACTACAACGTTACATGTCTCCAACTACCCCCCGCCTGCCCGGCTAGAACAGGCCCCTTGGCGGAACCCCCGCAGACTCCCAGAAGGCAGCATGCCCATTGCCCATTTGTGTTCCGGCCGATTCCGACCTCCATCTCCAGCAAAAGATGTAGGCAGCAAGCTGACTTAGCCAACCAGGACCTCTACGAGGCCCTGCTGATTCATCAGCAAATCTGCCGTCGCACCACCAGCCCCACACTCCAGCTAGGCCGCGTCATGGATGAGTTGGTGAAGAGGTGGACGATCCTCACCAAGTTCCGGCAGCTGATTGAGAGGGACACCGCGACCATCAGCACCTTCATACAGACTTACTTTGTGATACCCAAGGTAAAGCACATTGACTCCACTGAAATCTATCATTTTTTTCGTGGTGGCAGTGGTGGTCCTGGCCCTCGGGATATTTCCGTGGAAGAGGCCGGCGGGGGGGCGTTAGGCAAGGATCCACCCGGGGAGAATAGGTTAAAGCCCCAACCCAACCAAGAAACTGAAACGGAATTGCAGCCTTTGTGTAATGCTGATGATCACTCTTTCCAGTTCAATCCATAGTAAGAACAAATGAACTATGTCCAGGCAGGTTGCAAGAAGAGTTTCACGTGTTCGTCATAGGACTTTGCATTGCATCATGTTTATGTCACCTGGGCGCGAGTTGAACAGTTTCATTCTTCCTGCCCCATGCTTCCGCAGAGTCGGCATGCTCAATTCGTATGATCTGCTTTCCGCGCGCTGGGGTACCTGAAAGGGCCATGCCTTCCTTGGTCCAGGGCCTAGTGCATGTTGCGGGTGCGAGCGAATGCGCAGGTTTTGTCGGCCTTGGATGAGGACGGCGATGCCAAAGTCGACCTCCAGGATCTCCTCGGGGCTTTGACAGGGAAAGCTAGCCAAAACAAATTGGTAACACTAAGCATTGCGCCACAGATTTGAGACCTAGAGTGATGGCCCCGGACCCATCAAACATAGACAGATATTTAAGATGCATCAAAGGGTGTTCATCAATAACTTTCTGGGCCACATGAATCGAGCTGCCCCATGAAAGGGCTAGCAGGGGCACCCAGCCAGATTTTCAAAAGACCTTCTCTTGCTATTATTTTTTGAGGATCATGACTTCCCTATGCTTTGCCAGGAGTGTCAGAGACAGCTCGGCCTCATATCCCCGCCGCGGCCCAGCTTGATGGAACTAGCCGCTTGGCGCTTGGTTCAACCTCTCGAATTCGCTGCAAATAGTACCGGGAAGGTTTGCAAGACACGGTATGGGTACATGGCTTGTAGTTGCTTCCTCACCCTGCACATGCGCACTCCCAAGCAGCGTCCTAGAGGGCCTTGGCTGAGCCAACCTGGGCTTTCAGCTAGACGAAGCGAAAAGCTTAAAATACCTTGGCCTGTCAGGGCAGCCAGCTAGAGCTGAAGCACGGGCTGGGCCGCAGCGCCATCAGCGGTCCTCTTTCCAACCCCGCGGCACTTTTTGAGCACCTTTGCATCTTGGCTGCCATTGACGTTTCTCGCGTTCGGATGGTCGATGTTTGGGTGCGTTGCACGCATTTCCGGTGCAACCGACGCGGATGAGGCCCTCCATTCCGCTTCAGAAGCCGCCTGAGGTACTGTTGAGAAGGTCAGCCCGCCGCCAGAGGATGTCGCGCGACTCTTCCGGGCACTGAATGCTGGCAAGGGCAACAAAGAGATCAGCACCCTGCCAAAGCTTGCATGAAGTCAACAGGGGCGCACTGGATTTGCTTCAAAAGGAAATTTGCCCCCCCCCCCCCTTTCGTGCCTTGGGGAGCTCATAGCCTCAAGGAGGCCAAGAAATGACATCGGGGTGGAGCACAGGCCCGCAAACCCGACAACAGCTATCCAGCAGACACGCACAAAATAGTACTGTTGTCCTTTGCACATGTTGTTGGGCAGGAGTTTGTTCAGAGACTCAATTCATTTGCTCTTTGGGGGTCCAGTCTAGCGGACGTGTGAGGCACCGAGAGCTTGTCGCACCTACTGCGGCAGCCGCCCTTGGAGGTGCAGTGGGGGGTAGAGGTCCACACCATCCCGGCCTTGTACGACGCGCTGGCCTGCCGGATGCGCCTGCGCAGAAACGGAACCCTTGTTTGACCCGGATGAATGGATGTTTGGTGTTGCTTTTGGAAACTGTGGGTCTTTGTGTGTTTTCGGGATGTGCCAAAAGGTTCTCTCAGTTTGTCACGAAAGCTAGCTTTAGGTAGCTGAAGTTTCTCCTTGCGCAAGCAAGGTAAGGGGCTCAAATGCCGAAAGATTGATTTTTTCAATTATTTGAGCCGAAAAGATTGAAAAACATCAATTATTTAGACCCCCCTCCCCCCTCAGTTAGTGGTGACTTCTCCCGCCGTCATACTGCGCATTTTGTCCCCACTCCACCCGCCACACTGCGCAAAATCCCACCCATTAAATTAATAAATATCCCAAATGCATTGATACAATCATCGCAAAACAAATGTATCAACCCATTTACTCCTCAACTCCTTGTGATTTTGCTAATTCACAATGCCTTTTCGATCCATTATGGCTACACTTGGATGTTTTCTTTGCTAAAAATACTTGACAGACATCGCACCACCACGAATCGCCACGATCGGCTTCCAACTTCTCCCCAGCTTCTATCATTTGATATCGTTTGTGCCGACTAGTGATTAAATGCTTCGTCCATTCTGATTTAGCTACTTCTACTTTGCAAAGATCACAAAGTCGTTTTTCTCTCTTCTGTTCCAAAATCTCGTTTCTATGATTGACATAATACTTATGACATTTCTCCGCCATTTTCTCGGGATGATTTTGTTGATAAGTCTTAGCAGTAGAAAGGCAATAATTACATACTTTTCTCCCATCCTTGAACTCTCCTAGTTCTTTCTGTTTTCTGCACCTACTGCATCTCTGTAAGTTTTCCATACTACTATTTACCATCATGTCTTTAAGTGTCTTCTAACTGCGTATTTTCTAAGCTCTCCCGGCGCCATACTACACAAATTATCACTCCCCCAAAAATGGTTAACCAATGGAAAAGGGAGAATTAAAACCGTTAACCCAAATCTTGAAAACAATCCCAGTAAAATATGGATGGCAAAATGCGGATCGGGAAAGGCCTAGGTAGGAAAGCACCCCCACGGCTTATATGGGAAAATTAAACTATAATTATAACATATAAACATTTATATGTTATTATTATATTATGATTACAATTTCAGTACAGGATAATAATTTAATTGACAAATATTACTTCTTTCATACATCATTTTAAAAATAATATTAATATCTCTCACTGTATTTTTAACATTAAACTTTTTATAATTTCAATATAAAATTTAATATATTCTTTAATATCTTGTCCTTTCTTTTGACTATGACACAACATCAATAATATATCAGCAATCATTACATATTTTTCTTACTGATTTTAAGAAACTGTTTAACATATTCATAAGGTGGTATTTTATTTACAGTTAAAAATATCAAAATGTCATCTTCTACATTTCTATTATGTCTTATTTTTTTTTCTCAACACACAATTGATTATAGCTTGGTTATCTCTCCAGGTTTTACAATTTTCGCATATATCTTCTTCATCCATTGAATAATTAATAATAATATTCACTATTTCAATAGGCAAATTTAATTTATACAATTCCATATTTTCTTTTTTGAAGTGACAACAATCATAGCATTTTTTATTGATATAATTATTGATTTTATCATCGTTCATTTTCCTCTTATTATATTAAGGTAATATTTCTTTAAATACATTTTCAGGGAAACTTTTAAATCAAGCGAATTATAATTACAACATATAAGATCTTACATGTTGTAAGTATAGCAAAACTATGGTATCAAAGGCTTTAATCTATGTATTTCCAGGGGTTGTATTCGTTTCTTCTGTTCCTTCCTTAACTCTTTTGTTGCTTTTACTTTGTCTCTGCATTCCTTACATGTTTTGTAAAATATCTCTTCCATTTTAATTCTATCATACATTTTGTGAAAATCCTTTCTTGGCTTTGCTTCGTCGCATTTACTGCAAGGATAAACCATTGTGTATCCTGTTTCTTCTTCGTCATCTGTAGAACTCATAATCTTAGTTATGCCAATATGTCTTTAAACGGATTTTCAGAGAAAAATGCTTTAAATCAAGAATAAACACCTGTATCTTCATCATAGTCGATTTGATAAAATGTCATAGTTGAAGCCTTCGGTTCTTTAATTTCTTTGTTATTAAGTTTGTTTAAATAAATATTTCTTTTATTTTTATATTCACCATTGGTTCGATCTACTTCTTTACTTTGATAACTGTTTGTTAACGGTTTCTTCTTTTCCATTTCTTGCAAGATTTCTAAAATATTCTTATTCTGTTCTAAAACCTTGTTCAGTTTTTTAACCATCTTTTCTAATCCTTCATCCATGTAACTATATATATTATATTATAAAATAAAACTTTTAAAACTAAATGTTTAAATTATGTTAAATCTACTCTTTAAATACTAATTTTTCATCATTTGTTTAACAGTTTCCTGAGTTTCCTTATCGCCATTATCGGATGGCGATGCATGTCTCCCCCATTTGATAGCAATATTATGAACATCTGTTTCTAAGTTTATACTGTCTTTAGTTTTATCAATATTCATTTTCTTATCATTCTTACTTATTTTGAAGCTTGTTGGAATACACGAACATTTACAGTTTCCTTTCTTTTTTATTTCTAATTCATTTTTCATTTCTAAGATCTTTTTACACATTGGACAAGCAAACTCAATAACTGATGTTTCTTTAACAATTTCTTCTTTTTCTTCATCAGTTGAAGAAACAACTGATTCTGTCTTATTCTTTTTCTTTCTTCCCATTTATATTAGTATTTACATTTTTATTTTTGATATATTGTATCACAAACTTAATTATTTCTAAAACAAAATAGCATACTTTCTTGCATCTATTATCAGTTATAACAACTTGTTCTAAATTCTCTACTTCATCTATTATATCAATATAATCTGAATAGCTTCTATTCATATAAAATAATAAATATAAAATATTTTCTAAATAACTTTAATATTATTTTATTATGTCAGATGTTCCAATAATAAAGCCAATAAACATAACTGAATATGAATTCAAACAATCTAAATATGAGCACGTGCCAAAATTACCATTTAGAAGTATTATAGTTGCCAGTTCGACCGGTGGAAAAACAGTATTGGTTCAGAACCTTATCTTAAATGTTTATAGAAATTCATTTGCAAGAATATTTATATTTTCCCCCAGCGTTCATAATGACCCAACTTTTACAGAAGTAAAGAAATATATTAGGGATGAACTACATGTAGATGATGAAAAAGAACAAATCTATTTTGATAATTATAATCCAAGTGATTTAGAAAATGTAATCGAAAGACAGAAGAAAATAATTAATTATATGAAATCTAAAAAAATAAAGAAACTACATTCAATATTAATCGTTATAGACGATCATGCCGACGATCCTAAATTTGTTAGATATAGTAAATTATTACATGGATTATTTACAAGAGGTAGGCACGATGCAGTAAGCGTAATTTGTTCAACACAGAAATATAATGTGTTGGCGCCTATCATTCGTTTAAATGCCAGTTCATTATATATTTTTAGGTTGAAAAATGCCAGTGAATTAATGAGTTTTATTGAAGAAAATAGCGCCATTGTTGACAAACAGCAATTATTAGATATGTATCATCAAGCAGTGAATGACGCACCTTATAGTTTCTTCTACGTGAATATGAATGCTAAGGACATTAACAAAATGTTTCATATCAGATTTGAACAGGCGTTTCAAATTACGAATGATGAATAAAGATATTCTAATTTAATATAATATAATAATATGTCAATGAAACTATGTAGATGTGGTGGATTTTATCGTAGAGGTAATTATAATTTTCATACTAATTCTTGGATACATAAACTTTATAAAGTATTGAAAAGAAGGGCAACAGACGAGGAATTATTAAGATTTCAAAATAATTTTGTTGATGAAGAAGATTTAATAGATGATATATGTAGCAATGCATCAACGAAATTACCCGATAGTGAAATGACAGATTATGATAGTAATCAATAATATTAATTTGTTTTAATATTATTAATTTAAAATAATGAATAATTACATAATTGAACAGGTAATTTATATATTAATTTGTCAGGTTTTTCTTTCTCTAGTTTCTCAATTCGTGCCACACATTCTTGAAGAGATTTAATAATTAAAGTGTCTGCTCGTGTTTTTTCATCTATACTTAAAACCTTAATGTCTTCCAAACTATTATTTTCATTATTTTTACTTTGAAAAGCACCCATTATATATAATATTATTTAGATTTTAATTTTTCAAAATTATATTTTTGTTTTTCTTCTCCGTCTTCTTCTTCTTCGTCTTCAGTTGGTGCTGGTATTTCTGTTGGACTTTCAGATGAAGAACTATGAACAGTAATAGGTGGAGAACTATGAACACTAACAATTTCATTAGAAGAACTACTGCTACCTTGTGCATTTCCTGCTGTTATTTGATTAACTAAATCTGCGATATTTATTGTTGTTGCAATTGCGCTATGTGATAAGTTTAATATTATATCTGCTACTGTAGCGCCGTTGTGTAGCATTGTTTCTATCATTTTTGTCAGTTTGAATCTTTTTTCTTCTTCATCGCTGTCCTCCTCGTCTGGTGGTTTCTTTGGCGGTGGTTCTGGTGGTTTGTTGTTGTCGAGCATTTTAGTAAAGGCTGACACCATTGTGTCGCGTTGGTTTTTCAGTGTTTGTGTTGCTTGCGTTCTTGTTGGTTCATGTCTTTTGTATGTGTTGTGCCAAAAGTTTTTAAGCATTATTTTAAACATATTATCTTGGTTTTCCTTTACCTTAAACGCTTCAAATGTCATATTTAATTGTTGATTTGCATCATTATATAACTTTTCTTGAGTCTCTCTGGTTTCTGTGGCGATTGTATCTGTATTGGTTGCAATGTCAATAAATTCTCTCGGTATGCCCTTTTTCATCATTTTCGGTGGTTGTGTTGTTGTTGGTGTGTTTGGTTTTGTTA